CAATAATTGACAAATAAAGAAATAATAATGGTAAAAATGTTCAATAGTTTAAGTTGACTTTGTGTTCATCATTTATTAGCTTGACAAATAGCAAGACTTATTTATTAATGTTATCACAATATGTTTTTAAAAAGATAAAGATTGAAAAAATTTATCACTTTTTTTTTTTCTTTTCTAATAAAGGGATGATTATGGATGAGGATCAAATCAAGTTGCAAGGGTAGGAATTAAAAATAAATTAGATATAAAAGTTGAATAACATAATCAAAACATATTCATATTAAATAAAAAATAAATAACTATAAAACTAAAACGTTTATGAATTTATAGTGAAAAAAATTCGTATGTCATGCGATAAATCTTCTAAATCAATATTCGATGCTTTTGAGTATTTACACTCTCTTTTTTATGATAAGACGATACAATAAAAAAAAAACATACATATAATTTGAATACCGTAATCGTATATTTATAATGTAATGGCTCCGAAAATTAAAAGAAAACGTGTATATAAAAATTTTAAGTGCGGAAGCGAAATAAAATATTATGATTACCATTCTTTATACAATAACAAAAACGTATTAACGTATGAAAGAATAAGTTAACTAAAGTAAATAGTAAAAATGAATACTATAAGGAAAATTATAAAATCTTTAGGCATCTATTCGCCGTCTTCCTGCGAAACAGACTCGGGATCTGAAATGGTTAAGTAAGAAATGAGTTATACTATCTCAGTAAAAATGTCACACTATCTCACTGTCACAGAAGTAAAGGTTGATAGAAAATAAAAACGACCAATAGAGCATAATTTATAAAAAATAAATAAATATAAAATTAAAACGTACATGAATTTATAGCAAAAGAAATTCGCATGTCATGCGATAAATCTTCTAAATTAATATTCGATGTTTTGAAATTTTTACACTTTTTTTTTTTTTGTAATAAAACGATACAGTAAAAAAAAATATACATATAATTTGAATACGATAATCACTTATCTATAAGTACACATATATGTTATTTTAAAAATAAAATTTATATTATTTATTTATTATTTATTTTTTATCAGACTAAATTAATTTAATAATTTTTAATACACAATAATTTACGTATATAAATTTACATGATAAATTATAATATTTCTTAAACATTTTTATCGATAGCAAAACTTTTTTAAAAAAAAAAAAGAAAAAAAAAACTCATTAGAATAAAAATAAATAATTGGGGATAATGTTAAGCTTTATTCTCTGATAAATTTTATCTCGAAAGTTATATATGAAATAATTCATACAAGCCAATCCCAGAAAAAGGACAAATTGAAACGTAAAGGCCACGCAAAGGACAAAGCTTGACTCACCATGCACACACAGATATATATAAATATATATAAATATATATATATATATATGGGTACGTATATATGAGTTGTGTGATCAGAATTTAAAGGTAAAGGTGATAGATAAACGTCGTCCTATTCACCCATTAAGTTGAAATTTTTTATGTAATATACACAAGTCAGAGAGTACTTATCGCATACTCGTTTTAATATTTCATAGCACAAAAAACCCTACACCAAATTTCAATTTCCCATTTACTGATTTCAAAACATTAAATCTCCAACTGACATCCCGCTTGAACATGTCCACTAAACCCATCGCCTTCCTTCACTTTTGTCCATTTCGAGCTCTTCAAATCCAACACACAGATTTTATGGCTTCCCCCAAATTCCGCCGACCCAATTACCAAAATCCTATCTTCTTTCAACTTTCTACACACGCAA